AACACACTTGCGAAACCTTGTCCACACCTCACCAGATAAAGCCAGAAATTTCTGCTCTCTTGTTAAGAACGTGTTCGAGTCTGATCTATGCTTGTCATTAACCACTTTTAAGTTAACCATAAGCGTCAATAAAGAAAGCATAGGACAGTTATGTTATCCACATGAGTCACATCACATTAGTGAGCCTGAATAATCAAACACAGCAGAAACATCAAATCGAGAACTGCTTCCATATCTGTCAGGCTCCAACCTAACCAACATCTTTTATCAATCCTGCCATATTATACTGCACACCTGATTTGCATGCAAGCTTTTGTTTTTATGCTTCATTTCTACACTGTTTACACTGAACAATGTGACCTATAAGCAGAATCAATAATTGCACTGGTGTTGATAAAAGATAATCAATCACTCTCTAAGCAGTAACTGTAAAATATCAATATCGACAATATATAACTATTTTCAAAAGATCCAGCACTGCTTTACAGCACATTAGCCTATTCCTGGAAAACATTTCAAAGTCACGTTTACTGCTGGGAGTGTGCAACAAACCACAAACACACAGATTTAAAAACAGCCTCATTTCAGCCCCCAGAGATGGATGATGCACTGGTTTTCATCGCAAAGAATAAGACTGTCCACAAACATCTCGAGATACAGGCGACCAAAAAAATCCTAAGAACCACTTGTTGCATGACATGATCGAGGAAGTGAAAATAATACCTGATGCAGAAGAGAATCTCTGAATACACGCAGGTCAAACCTTTAGTCTAACGAGTGTTCATTTCAGTATTTGGATGATAGTCAGAGTTAGGTGTAGCATGAAAGCAAGGATCCATCTTGCTTTGCATCAACAGTTTAAGCTTCTGGTGGTTTGATGGAGTGGAGGATATTTTATTGGTACGCTTGGTATCAACTGAGCATCATTTAAACCCCCCTGTCTACCTGAGTATAGTTACTGACCATGTCCAACCATTTATGACTACAGTGTACCATTTTCTGATGGCTGCTTCCAGCAGTTTAACACACCATGTCACAAACCTCAGATCATCTTAAACTGATTTCTTGAACATGACAATTAGCTCACTGCACTCAAATGGACTCCACAGTCATCAGATCTCAGAGCACCTTTGAGATGTGATGGAACAGGAGACTCGCATCATAATATGAGCAGGAACTGTGTGATGCTATCATATCAATATGGAGCAGCACATTGTTCGATATATGCCACGAAGAATTAAGACAGATCTGAAGGCAAAAAGGGGTCCAACTCCTAAAAGTAACCAATGAGTGTAGATTTATGTAGTGATTAAAAGTTGGTGGTTCCCAAAAGAGGGTTTGGGATGTCTCCAGTCAGATTAAGGAAAACCTAAATGTAACTATTTTATAATCATACCTTTATGTCAAACTCTTCAAGGTTTTAAATATCTCAACTGAAACGCGGGATTCTTTTCAGAGGCTTACTGGATAATATAAATGAGCATATTTATTTTTTTGATACATTTCTAATTCTAACTTGATGAGCTCTCATCCTGGAGGAGCAAATTCATTTGCTCTGCAGCCTGTGTGGACGACAAGTATGCTCGAGTGTGCGCTCACTCTGGGACTGTAAAGATGTCACACGCTCATTAACCTTGAAGTGCTAAAAGGAAATTAACATCTCTCACACATAAATCTGGAAGCTGCACAATGTATAAACTACCAGGAGTCTACCGATGGAGAATCGGCCACACACAGTCAGAATGAATGCTCGGCTGATCAGGTGAAAGGCTGGGAGTTTCGTGTGGTTAAAAAAAAAGATTAGATGTAGGCTTGCAGCGCTGATGCAACTTTAATCTAAAGGTGTTCTTCTATCCTTGCTGACGGTTTCATCATCGCCGTTTCATCAGGACTTCAGAGAGCAGAGGGAGACACGAGTAACACGGCAACTAAATTACATCAGCACGTAACGAGGGAGCCTAAACACAACGCTGTAAGGCAACTGTGCCCCTAACTGTAGGGTTGTTTCTACTGATTAACAGAAAAGGTTACTGATAAACAAAAAAAAGTTCAACCAAACTAAATTAAGCCTGACAAAGCCGGGCGAAGAGTGAGTTTGGTCTTTTTGGAAGGACCAAAATAGACAAACCCGCACCAGAATTGTGTAATGATTAGTAAGGTTCTTGTATTTCACATCATGCAATTTGTGCGAAACACTGTCGCCTCACAGCAAGAAGGTTCTAGGTTTGAATCCACTGGCAGCCGGAGCCTTCCTATGTTGAATCTGCACGTTCTTCCTGTGGTTGGGTAGGTTCGGCTTCCTCCTACAGTCCAAAAAACATGCATGTGGCCATGGAGGAGTCGTAGATAAAGTGCTTGAAGTCTATACAATATGTATGTATGCAAGTATGTACGCTTAGCTGGGGTTTGTAGTCTAAATGAGCTCTTAAAGGCCCTTTTAAAACTACAAGCCACATTTACCCTCCTCCCCACACATGCAATGTTTCATTCTATGCCTTTAGGTTTATCAGGGTTTCTGGTTCAGTCACCTGCAGACTGGAGAAGCCAGTGGTAGCTGGTCTGCTCTAGTTCTTGCCTGCTTAGATTTTGCATCCCTATCAGAATTTTCATTTCAAACAAAAGACAAAATAAAAAGTTAAATTACAGGTTGCTCCTATCATGTTATCTCCTGCGGATGAGATGATATGATGGATCTTGGACAGTTAAAACACGTCTGTTTTTATTTTCATGTTTGCTGCTGAGCTTTTCTCCACCCAGCAAACGCCTCACCTGTGAAACCGAGAAAACAAACATCACAAACATGTCACTGTGTAAGCCCACACAGGTCTCTGTTGCCAAAACACACTCATCCAGCCTTTGTGACTTAAAACTACAAACAGGTGCCCACTACGCTTTGACATCAGCTACAGTTCTGCTGGAAACGATTAGGATGACCTTCGGATTGGCCCTAATCCCACATTAACCTCAGCCAAGAGTCACAACTCATGAATGAAGCCACCACATCACTGAGCGTGTGTAAATATTCAACACAGAGTGGACTGAAGGTTGAGCCTTGTGCAAAGCCAGAGCCAACAGTGATGGAACAAACTAGAATTACAGCTGTTACCCAACACCTACTTTCAGTCTTTGATAAAACTTGTCAGCTATGTTGTTTTCTAATCTCAGGATTCTGGCTCAGCGAGGCCATAGCTACAAGGCGTTTTCACTGCCCATTATGTGCATTCAGCATATTGTGAACCTGATCTGAAAGCTGCCCATGATCAGCAGGGAGGTGGAACACAGAAGTTGATGTGTCACCGATCAAACCAGGCGCCAACTGCAGCTGTGACCTCTGACTAGGGCTGGGTGGTCTGACCAAAAACTTGCATCACAGACTTTTTAACGACTCGTGTGGTTTCACAGTACGCACTTATCTTGGTCTGTTAAATCAGACATGAAACACTGAGAACTGATAATAATCCAGCTATGAAACTGCTCATCAGCTGAGAGTCTGCGCTTCATTCCCAGACTGATTTATTTGAAATCCACTGTGGTGGTGTACATCTGCTGATCTGCTGATTCCAGAAACTTTATTCCCTTAAAAGACATGAGATCACTCTTTAAGGCATTAAAAAGGCGGCTTAGTTCACGGGTTAAAGTTCAGCTACATGCTGAAGACAAACACCCTTCACAGAGTTATCTAATAGTCTCTTATCCCGTTCACAACAGACTGATTACCGGAGCATCGAGGGGCGTGATTCCGCCGTTAGAAACAACCCAAAAGGAGGCCTAACAGGCGGCCAAACAAACCACACTAAGTCCGTGTTTGCGAAACAAATGAAACCAGCACGTACCAGAACAGGTGTCCGCACAGACTGATGACGGCGTCCCTGGCAGTGTCCAAGCAAATGTTGCACTCGAAGGTGGCTCGATCCCGCTCCCGTTCGCTCTCCCCGCTGCCGCCACCCGAACCGTCGCGGTCGTTGCTGCTCTCCCCGGCCGGGAACCCTCCTCTGCTGGCCGGACCGCCGTCACTCGAGAACCGGTGATCCGCGGCCGCCATAGTGTTTATTTTCCAAACGAAGAAAGAAACGAAGCGAGCCAACCCGCAGCGGCCAGACCCGAGCTAACGTTAGCTGTCAGCGGTAACGGTTGCTGCTGTCACCGACCGAGCCGAGGCTGCTGTCTCTGCCCGAAAGACGACTTCCGTTTCCGGGAGAAACAGGACACGTGGGGCGGGCCTAATTTAAACACCACCGCCACCATAATAATAATAATAATAATAATAATAATAATAATAATAATAATAATAATAATAATAATAATAATAATAATAATAATAAGAAGAAGAAGAAGAAGAAGAAGAAGAAGAATTACTGACACGTACACCTTCGTCTCTAGCCAATCCTCATTTCGTTTGTGGTAGGAAAATAGAAGCGATTTATTGAAACATGACAAAAACAAACAAAAAGAATCGCTTAATAGCTCTTTGGGAAACACAACATTCTGGCAAAAATGCCATTTTATTTCCGTCAAACTCTTATTTTTGGCATTTTTCATAGACTCAGCTAAGGAAATTGTAATAAACTTTGTTGGGCTGTGAATAGCAACGTTATATGTAGACACAACACTGGTTCATCCTTTTTTATCCTTGAATGATTCATAGCTCAGTGTTAAGTGGCTTAACTCACAGAAAACGTTCCTCTGAAAATAGTCAGGTAAGGACTGAAATAAAATAAAAAAAAATAAACAGCTGCTTACACCACTTTAAAAATCACAAGAAAGTCTGGCTCCATAGAAGTAAAATATAAAGATATGAGTAGTGACTCGAGACTGTTGCACAGCATAAAAAATGTAAACTCTAACGCCACAACAACAAAAACATTATTTATTCACTTTTACTGTTTAATGAACTTCATGAAAATAGGAAGAATATTTGCTGCTCAGAGAAAAATAATTAATAGCGACAGGCTGGAGGTCTATTTAAAGCAAATGTTTTGCACTAACAACATACAAGAAAGAACGAAAGAAAGCGGGAACTTTAGTCCTACATGTTGTTTCCAGTCGGACAGTTGAGGGGCAACGACCGTAAGCGTGTTGTGTACAGCGCACATGCTGTGTTTGATCATTCTAACGTTAACAGTATTTTCACGGTTAACGCGCGTCACTGACGGTTGTTTGTGTTTTAATACGCGCTCTTTCGTCACTGGCCCGCCGCCATGAAGATTAAGCGGCAGAAACAAGCCAAGAAGACGATCAGTTTCTACAAATACAACTTCGGCTTCAGGGAACCCTTCCAAATCCTCATCGATGGAACTTTCTGTCAAGCGGCCTTGAAGAACAAGATTCAGATCAAAGAGCAGATGCCCAAATACCTAATGGGAGAGGTGCAGTTGTGCACCACCAGGTGAGTGCATTCACCTCTGAGCACCCTCCCCACCCACTACCCCCGGTCACTTTTTGGCACAACACTGTCATCGTACACCTTTTAATAATATGTCCACGTGTTCACGTTCAGCTGTGCGCTGAAGGAGCTCGAGACGCTTGGAAAACAGCTGTACGGGGCCAAGATCATCCTGCAGAGGTTTCAGGTCAGGAAGTGTCCGCATTTCAAGGAGCCGGTCTCAGCATCAGAGTGTCTGCTGTCCATGCTGGAAGAGACCAACTCGCACCACTACTTCGTTGCCACACAGGTAAATAATGAGATGAAAGTGGGAAAATATTTTTGAAAGCCAGCTTTGGGTGCTGGCTAAACTCGATTCCAAAAAAACATAATGCAGCGATTTGCATTTTCTACCCAGAGTTGAGCATAGAAAACGTAGAAAATGCTTAAATTGATTCCTTTTACTCTTTTGTGAAAACATATTGGCTTATTTCGAATTTGATGGCAGCAACAAGTCTCAAAAATTGTTACAGGGACATGTTTTGTGTGTATCATGCCCTGTTCTTTTGACAACAGCCTGTAAACATCTGGGAACCGAGGAGATAGGCGGCTGAAAACTTGTTTTCATTCTTGTCTGATTTGGGATTATAACTGCTCAGTGGAGCAGATGACAGATAAATTACAAATATCTCCTTGGTCTCATTGTGTCTTCAGGACCACACAGTCACCACGGGGCTGAAGAAAATTCCAGGAGTTCCTCTGCTTTACATCATCCTCAACACCATTGTGCTGGACAAGCCCAGCCAGGCGTCCCTCGACCACGTCCAGGCCGTCCAGCTGGGAGAGCTGGTCAGCCCGGCCCAGCAACAGAGTATCCGGACCCTGAAGGAGGAGCAGGGAATTGGCCAGAAGGACGGAGAAAGGCGTGGGAAGAAGAGGAAGAGGAAACAGTCCAACCCCAACCCGCTGAGCTGCCTGAAGAAAAAGAAGAAAGGAGTCCCGACACCTCCGCTGAAGAAGACAGAGCAGGAGGGGAAGAGGAAGAGAAGCCGACACAAGAAACGAAAAGTGGAGGCAGGAGATGGCACAGCTGCCCCAGCAGCTGCTAATACATAAAACAGCAGGAAGACAGAGACTTCAACCTTTTCCATTCACCTGATTTATAGGTTTACTTTTTGATATGACTGCAGAGGAAAAGAAACGTTTATTACATAATATTTTAAAAATGCCATTTTGTAGTGTTATTTGTTTTATTTTGAAAAACCTTACAGGTAAGGGAATGAAACTTTTCTCAGACAACATCTTTATGATTTCTTTTATACAAAATCAAAAAAGCAGGTTTCGTTACAGGCACATAGTTTAAAATATAAGATGCACTCAGACATTAAACAGTTTACCCTTTTTCTTTTTTTTAGATGGAAGGGGATATCAAAAACAATGCATTTAGCTGTCTTTGGACACACTAACTTGTTTCCACTGTTGATATTTCGTGCAGATTAAATTTAAGCTGCAGTATTTTCTCATACCACGATGACTTACAGCAACAAAAGTCCATCCAGTTTCCATCTGATCCTGTCATCCAGCCATTCTAGAGATTAATAATGAAATCTGCTTTTAAATGAAAAAACAATTCATTCTCTTTAGCTGCTATACAGCAATACAACAATAAATTAATACTATCAAAAGTGACACAGAGCACAACAACTTAATTGTCTTAATAAACAAGACAGTGCATCACTGTATCCATATACAATAAGGACACTGAGTAAAGTGAATCTCACCTCAAGTTATTTTAAGGATTTGAAAAAAAGTAACATGGCAATGAAAAGAAATTTCACACAAATTGGACTTGATTCAAATATTTCAGGATAGCATGCAAGTATAGCAGACCACTCATGTTTTTATCTATAGGCTGAGGTCCCGAAGCTAGGTTTTATTAAACTGTGTCCCAAATCCACAGCACATAGTAACAAGGTCCAAGACAACGTGATGAAAAGTCTCAATATTTCATATTTTATACTAACAGGCAATGATGGAGAAAACTTAATTCCTTACAAGTTTAGAGAGGAAGCAGCAGGAGTTGTTAAAGGTGTTCCCAGAACTGTTTTATCAGAATTTTAAATCTGAATCAGGAAAAGTATGCATAATCACGATGCACTGAAAAAAAAAAAGGTGATTTTACCCCTTAACCCGAAGGTTGATGGGGTTTTGTTATCCCCTGGTCAGGCAGGCGGGCCTCAGACAGCGTGAACATGAGAAAAAGGCGATATAAGATTTTCAAATTGATGCCACAGATTTCTTTACTAAAAAAAAGTTAGAATTTTGGTGAAATTTACTGAAAATTAACACAATTTAAATTGTTTAAATAGACCTTTGACAATAAACAATGAAGTTTAATCACTGTTTTGTCACTTTTACTGTCTTTCCCAATGCCGGTAAGAACACACCTTGAGTAAGAGAGCAGCCATAAATTAACGGTGCATAAATTATGCTCACTTTTAATGTTTCCGTCATGACCCTCCTGACACAAATCCTCCCAAAGGATTTGTGTCAGGAGGCTGATAGCCATCACTATTTTTAAGTTTGCACAATCCTCGAATCCTGCTTAGAAATTAGTATGTTGTGTGGATTTGGGTCATGTCTATTTTTTTTTTTTTTACTGACAGCAACAGCAACAACAACTTAGAGTCTGTAATACTTAAAGTGCTACTCTACAGCTGTATAATGATTAGCTGCTGGTTGAGTCTGTAGAGAACTACTATAATAACTGTTTAAATGTACTCTTGGAAACAGTGCATGCTCCTTCTTCCTAATATGATGGTGAGAGACTTCAGAAGTAAACCTTCACCTGCAGTAGTGAGAAAAATGGAAGTAACATGTTTGACTGACTGTAAACAAATCATTACACTGGACTCCTTCACTTTGGTGAGACGGCAGCAAACAATGAGATGCAGGTGATCCTTTACAGTGATTGGGATATAAAGTGAGTAAATAATAAATATGTTCATTGTTTGAGTTCCAACTACGTTAGTCAGACCCACTTCCACTGAACCACCACTGCTTCACATCTAAATGATGCAAAAATGAAACCATTTCACAAACAAAACAATCTCAGCATACTTAAATAAGACTTGTGTTAAACTAACAGATAGTGCTGCTGACTAAAAGTACTGACCTCCGAGCAGTTTTTTTTCTTTAAAAGATTAAAAGGAATGGGTTTTTTTAGACGATGTGGAAGCGAGGACCCGGCGTAGCGATGATATCACTGTAAGGCTCCTCCTGGACAAGCTCCACTGCCTGCTGCTTCTTCAAGACCAGAAAGCTGTAGAACTTGGCAGCTGCCTGCTTCCTGTTGTTGTTCCTGCACAGATCCAGCAGGCTGACCGACTGGGCACCGGTTTTAGCCATCACCCTCTGTGATGCAGTAACAAAGAGTGTGAGCAAGAGGAAGCCTGTCATTTTGCATACTTTGATATGGAAATGGATTTTAAGCTCATGCAAGGTACATCTACTTATCCGATGCCAGTCGGTAGTCTTAATATTACCTGATGCTGTGGAAATCTGCAAATATATTGAGTGTGGAGCTTGCCTCTGGCATAAAAAATGCTATCCACAAGCGAAACTGTCGGGCTATTACCTAAAAGTTTTATAATATAAGATAATAACCCAAAATCTCAACTGAGCTCTGCCTGAGGTCAGACTCACAGGCCTGACCTCACACACTCACGTTGCAGTCTGGCACAGACTTCAGTTCTGTATGAAAAACTTTATTATTGTATTAGTGTGTCTGTATTTATAACCAAACCAATTAACCAGCATCCCATCCTCTCATCCAAATATGGGGAAAAAAACCCTAAAGTTAAAGTTTCACAATGTAGATTTCAAAAATCCAACAGGATAGCATCCTGATTGTGTCTATGGCCACAATCCTAAATTCTCTAAGTCATCTGTAAAATCACAGCTGTGGCTGATTTAAACAAAATAAGTCATAAAAACTTGTATTGGTGGTCTTTTGACATAATAATCAAACTAAATCTGTGAAATGAATTTTTATTTTATGTTATGCACTTTAAGATGTTTCATGTTAACTCCTTGTGAGTTTAGTTGGACTGTGTCATGTTTTACATCTTAATTTTAAATCTAAAAAAACAAAAAACAAACTTGACACCATTAGACTAGAAACAATTCCACTTCAGAGAGGATTCATATGGTTTTCTACTGCACATGAGTATATTTTGGGGAAAAAAAGGTAAAATAAAAGCACATAAGTTGTTTCTTCATACAACGAGATGTCAGTCTCCCTTCTTAAAGCACGCAGAAACATCCAGGGTGTCTCAGCGTGTGGATCTGAGTTCAGATATTTCTATAAGTTGTACCAACAACTTATCACTCTGCTGTTTTCTTATCTGGTAAGATGAGATCACATACATACCTGGAGACCATGAAGCATTTGCTGGGTTCTTTTATTCCACCTCCTCTCCTCCTGGTCCTGGTCTCCTCCCTGCGCCTCCTCCTCCTGACATAAATACACATAAATCCTTATACCAACTTACAGATAAATAAACTACATAAAAATGAGTTTGCTTATTTACTCTGAATAAATGAAAAAGGTGTGCGAAAAGTGAAGAAGCAAGGTTTGGGAATCTTTATCTGACCTCTTCATCAGAGTCATCATCATTCTTCTTCTTGTCCTTGTCGGTGAGCAGGTCCAGTTCTATCAGCTGGCTGATGTTGGTGGTGATTGTTTCCTCCGGGGGTACCTCCACAGTGGATGCCTCGAGCTGTTGGGGTGCATTAGATGGTCTGGACCCCTGCTGTTGCTGTTGCTGCTGCTGCTGTTGGTCCAAGGCCCCCATCTGGAGTGAGGAGGGGTCAGAGGACACATCAGAGAGACAGAGAAAGCACAATGTGACAAACTCTGAAAAACATGTACTCACAGGGAGGGCTGGCTCTGTGTCCTGGGCCTTGCGTTTCAGGCCTCGTTGGGAGGATGGAGGTGGCATGACCGACTCATCCAGGGTTGTCCTGCTCCCCTCTACAGCTGAAGTCTGCAGCACGCTGGCCTCTTCCATGATGGTCTGGTCTGGAAAAAATCAAGAACATATTTTGTGCTACCTCAAATGAACACTGGTGGGAAAACCAGTGGGAAAATATTTTCACAGACTGTATGTAAAAGATGAATGTAACATAGTCCAAATATAAGATGTAATGAATGATGGGGCAGATCTTACTGTGGAACATGTTTCACTTTAGCTTATTTCTATAGAGCTCTTATCTTTGTTCTAGATGTCTTGTTCATGCATTTGTATAAATTTTGTTATTAAACGCTTGCATTTCACATTAGTCTTTACCGCCTGTCTTATTTTACATTTGTTTTCTTAAAACACTTTGCAATGTATGTCTGTGAGAAATAATATTTAAATAAAACTGCAAATAGAGACCATAATTTACTAAATTAATTTCAGTTTGAGGCACTTTATGTTTACTTCATTTTTCAGACTTTTGAAGCTATTCTATCTTTTATATGGAGTCTGTTTCTTACCCATGATGTCTCTCTGTTGGTGGCCTGTTGTTTCCTCTCTTGGCACTTCTGGGTTCTCCAGATCTTTGAGAAACTCATCCAGACTGTCGGCTTCTCCACCTTTCCTCCTCTTCCTCAGTTCATCTGGGACTAATGGTGTCAGGCATCTTGTAAACATCTAGTGAGGGTAAACATAGAGTCAGTGTTTGTAATGTGTGTCGCCGTGACCACTACAACACTGTGCACAAATGTCCCTGAATGACATCCGTTACCTTGAGCAGTCTGGCGTTCCATAGAGGTTGAGCTGGAAGGGAGAAAAGCTTCTCAACTCCTCCCGTCTCCTTCCACATCATCAGTTTCTTTGTGGGCGGAGCCAGATCCAGGGTTGTGACAATGTCGGAGTAATCAGAAAGCTGTGCACGAATAGTTTTACTATCCAACTCCTTCACGCTGTCTACAATCAGCTTCCTCTTACGCTTTGCCTTGGTCTCCTTCACTGTAGATCAGGAAGACAAGGGCTCATTTTTAGTGCTTAACCTCAGGTAGAGCAAGTCATCTGCTAATTGGAAGGTTGGTGGTTCGATCCCTAGCTGCTCCAGTCTGCATGCCAAATATCCTTGTGCAAGATACTAACTAACTGCTCACAGATGCATCCATTGGAGCTATGAATGTGTGTGAATGTGAATGAGGCAAGTTGTGCAAAGTGCTCAGATAGAGAAAGGTGCTATATAACAACCGGTCCATTTACCATTTCACTGTAGAAACAGGAGTTTTATTATCTTGCTGATCTGGTGCATTTCAGAGCATTTGAGTTTTTGTTTTAAAATCAGTTTTAAGTTAGTTTCCAAAATAGATAAGTGTATTTCAGTTTGATTTTCATTCGTTTGAGTGTTAGCTTTACTCTTTTTAATTATTATAATATGAAGGCTATTTGTCAGAAGCAAAATTTAAGATACTGTCCAAAACAACATGAACCATTTGAAATCAAATCACATTTTTAATGTTGCCGACATGTGTGGCACTTTGCACCGTGCCTAACATCACACACGTCATGACAGATTAGTCTGCTGAGTGTGAATAACTGGAATGTGGTTACGCTTTGCTCCGGTCAACTGGTTAAATGCCGGCTGACTCTGACATGTATAACCGCTCATTTTCTAGATCACAGCACAACAGAATCATGCTCATTAGCACGGCTGTCATCTTTCTTACGTTCCATCTTCATTAGTTATTTTTTCTGTTACAGAGAGCGAGAGAGCTGCTGAGTAATTAGAAACAAAACAAAAACAAAATTAGCTGGATTACCTGTGATGTCGATGGGCTCCAGGGCGAAGGTTTCTTCCTCGTTGTGGACCAGAGCAGTTTGCTCTGCCTGGTCAGTCATAGCTGGTAGGGGCTCTGTTGGGCCTGAGTCCGGACTATCTGGGGCTCCCGCTAACACCACACACATACACATCATATTAGATCTGCATTTCATGATAATGACACAACTACATTGTAATTTTAACTCTCCGTAACATACCACACTCTAGCTAAAGACTAAAAAATATTATATTTTAGCCCTGAGGAATTTGTGAAACTGACCTGAGAGAGCATCAAAGTCATCGTCATCGTCTCCATGGTCCTGAGGCATCATCACACTCTCTGTGATGGCAGGAGGGTCGTCAAAGATGCCGCCTCCATCCTCGTTACTCAGCAGCTTGTCCACTACACAGAAATACAAGAAAAGAAAAAGTACACTTTTTCATCCACTAGCCAGACAAAAACAGCGTCATCTACAGATGTCATTGAGTAAATAAAATAATCTGTTTTTAAATTTAGTGTTAGCTCTTACCCAGCATTCCTCCCTCATTGCTCTCCATGGGGTTGTCTCCAAAGTCATCCTTGTACTGGTCATCATATTCCAAATGGTTGGACTTATCGGCCATCTGGTTAGCACCACCCTCAGCCTCCAGTAGCAAGTTCGAAGCTGATGCTCCCATAATGTCTACCTCAAACGCGCTCTCCTCTCGCATCATTTCCCGGTCATCCATCCCAAAGTCGGCTGCATGAAAAAACAGTGAGGAAGTCAAGGAATCAGCCTTGAAACAAAGTGTCACTAAAATACTGAAATGTGGTTTGACATTGGTGTTTGGATGTTGGTGTTTAATTGATCAAATCCTACATAAAGATAAAAAAAAAACCAAAAAACAAAGTACCGAAATCATTGTCCTGCAGCAGGTTGAGGTTGCCCACCTCCTCTCTCATGGTGATCTCCTCCACTCTGCTCTGGTTCAAGTTGAACTGCTGAGCTACATCAATGTCACTGTGCAAAACACAACACACTGTCATTTAAATGCTGTTGTTAATATATTTTGGGACTCTGAGGGGGTGGCTATAGCATGTGGGCAATACAGACAACAAGTTTACGCTACCTTACGCGACACCATCTTTATTTAATGGCTGTGATCTGCACAGTTTATTTTGTACAACAACTTTGTTCTTTGTAGTCTTATTCTGCATTGTGCTCTCTCAGGAAGCCTGTAGGACTCACTCTAAGTCTGGCAGTGGCTGGTCAAAATCATGAAACTCCTCGGGCAGAGTGATAGCGTTGTACGCTGCTTCTCTGTTCTCCTCTGGAAGATCCACCACACCTGAAACAACACGAGGTAGAGAAGCAGCTTTAGTGTATGTGACACATGCGTAGTTAGCATGTGCATCTAAAGTAACAGAGGCTCTTTCAGGGCCCTAACTGCTGCTGTATGAGTATGTATTTAATATGGTTTTTGGAAAGCCTAGTTTTGATTTATCTGCTGTTCCCAACCTGGTCTAAATGCCATCTTGATCTTGATGAAGGCCTCATTACAGTCTGCCAGCAGGTATTTGGCCTTCCTATGGTAGATTCGCACCACCCCCAGCAGCAGATGCCCTGAAGTCCGTAAAGCCATTTTTACCTGTAAAAAAACAAAGACATACATTTAGTAATACAGTAACTTCTGTCTTCTACATAAACTGTGTCACTTCTTCCACATGTGGGAATCAAAAAAGCAGTCTGTCTCACAACCGATGGGTTCTATATAAATGAAATTAACAAGTCTGTACTATAAAGAAATCCTGAGAGAAAATTAAACCAGAATAATATATAAAAAAAACAAAAAAAACCCAATAAGGGCCTACAATGTAATTATAGGATGACTACATGAAGGTAGACACTGAAACCTAATAAGAAACAGCCACATTTTACAGCAGGGATTGACCAATGTGGCTTTTTCAGGGCTAATACCAACTATTAGCAATCAAGGAGACCGATAACCAATTTATGGAACTAATAAAGAGTGTTACAGGTTCTACTTACATGCAGTAATGGGGTAATCACTTTATCACATGGGAGCGGTTAGAAAAAAAACACAAAAACTGTGTGCCAGGAGCTTCATGGCATGGTTTTCAATGGCAGAGCAGCTACTGTAAGGTTAATTGATAGGTGCCCCAGTGCCAAATAGTAATATCAAATACTATATATAGAAATTAATTGCATGTCACTGCAACAAAGTTTATTATTCAGGATTTTTAGAGTAATAAGGAAACTTGTCACTAAGGAAAGAGCACAACTTCAGGAATTTCTGCTGCCTGAACTGTTTCTTTAATTCACTGTAGCTGCTTCAGACTGACAGATTTTAGTGGAAACTGTGTTAAAAAATGGAAAATCCCTAGTGTACAGTAATCAAAGTCTGTTGGAGTTAGCTGCGGTAGCCTGAGAAATAACCTTGGGTGAGATGATGCTCTCCACGCTGCTCTCCAAATTGCACTCAAAAACATGTGCCTTGGTCAGCTTCTTGTCCCAGTGGGCCGCCAGCCAGATTTTAGCCAGCGGCCCACGTTTGCTGAGGACAAAGTGTGCGTAAAACATCGTCTCGATGCCTTCTCACCACAAGGGAAAGGGGAAGTGGGGGATGCGTCAGGCCTAGAGAGAAAGAAAAAAAACAAAGAGAGAAACAGTACAGTGCACATGACTGAAATCACCACTATGAAGGGGTAAACTATGTGGGGATGTTGAAAAGAAAAAAACTGATTGGGTTATCTTGATAAGCATATAACAAGGTGCAAACTGATTAACTGAGACTTTTTGAAACCACCGCCTGTGATTGGAGCAGTCCCAGTGTCACACAGAGTGCAGATACAGACTGCAGAGGCGTATCATCTAACCTGCATGCATAAAATCCAGAGAAGGCAGAGAATGAGCTGCTCATTTTATCGCTCTCATTTACATCCATCAGCCAGACAGTTTTTCTTCTGTTAGTTAAGTTTTGCTAATATTAGTTCAGGGAAAAAGCCTGAACCCGATAGCCTGCTGCCACCTGACTGCATAGATCAGAGACTATCTCACAAAAAAACCACACTGCTTTCAACTTTGTGACAGTGTGTCTAATGTAGTGGTATAAAACACTGGGGCTCCACAATGTAGAGTAGTTTCCCTGTTCCTTTTAATCCTTTACAAACTGGACTTCAGACACAACATGGACAGTTGTTGTTGTTGGGTATATAACAGAAGGGGACAACTTGGAATACAGGGAGGTTATTACCAATTTCACTGAATGGTGTGCAAAAAAAAACTGTTTTTGAATAAACTCCAGCAAGACAATGGTGACTGACTTCCTCTGCAAGGTGATACAGTTTACACCAGTAAACATTCAAGGCCTGGAGATTAAGACTGTGTCAGCTTACAAATACTTGCATGTTAATCTTAATAGCAAAGTGGATTAGTCACATAATATAGATGTCCTGTATAAGAAAGGCTAAAATCGTCTGAGGCCCTTTGTTGTGTTCAGGATGCCGTTAAGGACCTTCTGGGACACTGTGGTAGCTCTTTAATCTTCTATGCTGTGGTCTGCTGGGGATGGAGGAACTCAGAGAAAAAAGACTAAAAAAAACTTGTGAGGAGCCCTGGCTTTGTTGAGGGCTGCTCCTTGGACTCCACTAAGGAGCTGGGTGAGAGAGTAAACTTTCAACATAAGACTTTACAGTACAGTCAAATTAAAGAAATGCACTGATCTGTGCAATAATTTAATATCGTATAATAATATAAACAATAATATTCATACTTTAACACTGGTTTCTCCTAAATATTTTACTTATGTGTGTGTATATTTTAAGTAATAGGTAATACTTGGACACAAACAACAGTAGAACCTTATTTTACATGTTTAAAATTTGATAAGATATTTATCAAATCATTTCCATGAATTTAGTGAATTATTTTAGCAAAATCCCTCATTTGGATCAACTCAACTAGCAAAAATATTTGTCACTGCTGAGGGAAAACTGTAAACTTTTATTTAATGTCTTTTATATTAATTACTAATTTGTAATAATAAACAAACAAACAAAACAGTGATAGCCACTCGAGCAATTAGGACTCTATAATTATTAAGGATCTGTAATATAAAGGATGTCAATTTCATTTTACAAAGTAGGCCAAAATTGGGACACATTATAGGCTAACAGCTCATTTACAACAGTTTAAATACAAGAAAATATTTTTGGACAAATATCAGAAATCACTTTATGTTTGGCACCTCTGCTCTGGGCAATGTGTTATCGCAGATAATTTTACAGTAAACGCAACATTTTAACAAAGGAGCAGTAGTGTTATTTATCCTAATTGGCCCCTTTTATTTATGGCTAATTATATAGCCTGTTAGGTGTATACCCGCACTTTACCGTGGATACTGTAGAAATGACCTGCAGCTACACCGTTAGCCAGGACAGTCATGATACTGAAGGATGTAATGATTTAATAATAGAAACAACATGCAGCACCTGCAGGATGACTCCAATCAAAGTGCTGGCCCAAATGCAGATGTTATACTGTTATTACCGGGAAACACAGCGACCCTGTAACCGCAGACAGAAGAAGACCGGGCAGGTTTTATTTGACCGTTTAAAATGAGATGTCCGTTACATCGTTGACGCTCCCTGCATCCCAACAGGTGATGCTGCAGATAAGCTAGTATTAGCAGCTGTCTTTCAAAAGCACCGCGACGCTAGCCCCGTTTTCTCTCTTTTATTTATTTATTTAATTTATTTTAATTATCCACACAAATCTAATCTTCTGCTTACGCTAGACATAAAATACTCACCGGTTAGCCGTCTGGCGCGTTTCTGTTTTTGCCGGCCGTGCCGTCGCTGCCGTTGGTTGGGGGTTATTTTTTTCCCCGGTACCCCTCCGCCTCCTCTTCCACTAAAACAAACAAGATGGCGTCCCGTCCCCGTCGGAGAGGCAGGACGCTCTGAGAGCTCAGCAGGATGCAGACGGTGGTGCTGATGAGGGCAAAGACAGGGAGGGAGGGAGATGCTCCGTTATCTATGTGCCGCATTCAGATCCTTTACATCCTATATAATGTTTATAAAACATCATCAAACTTGTAATGATTCTCTTTCGTCAATAACAACACAAGAACATTAAACTTTTTCTGTCTTTACTAAGACATTTCCATCATTAATAAGAAGCTCACTCTCCATATTTACTTTTAAGGAAATAGTATTGGGTTTTGTGTTTAATCATTTTTGTTTTCTCTGTTCTTTTTAAAATAACAAGTGAAAAAAAGTTTATTTTAGATTAGAGATTAGATGAAACTTTATTAATCCCTCGGGTGGGTTCCTCCAGGAAATTCAGTTTCCAGTAGCAAAGCACCAAAAGAAGTTGCATGTTACAGATACATTAAGGGGAATGAGAGTAAGGATATAAGCATAAATACACCACATATACACATATACACATATATAGATACAGAATATACAATATGGATAAATAGGATTGCACATTTGAGTGAGTATATTGCACAGTGATTATTGCACAGTCGAATATAAGAAATAAAGACAAAACAAAAAACAAATATTGCAAATATTGCAAATATTGCACAGTGTAGAAAAGCACCTACAGCTCAGTTGTTCCCGCCCTCCCTTGTCCCCCTGTTTCTCCTCCCTCTCCCCTCCAGTGAGTTAAACAGTTTGATGGCGTGTGGGACAAAGGAGTTTTTAAGTCTGTTGGTTTTTGACTTTGGGAGAAGCAGCCTGTCGCTGAATAGGCTCCTCTGATTGTTTACGACCGTGTGCAGAGGATGCCCGGCATTGTTCATAATGTCCATCAGTTTCTTTAAGGTCCTCTTCTCTGCCCCTGTCACCAGAGTGTCCAGCTTCATGCCGACCACAGAGCCCGCCCTCCTGATCAGTTTCTCCAGCCTGGATGAGTCCTTCTTTGCTGTGCTGCTCCCCCAGCACACCACGCCATAGAAAAGTACTCCTTTTGTTTTCATATATACATATCTGTAACTGTAACATACTTGAAAAGCATCCCATGTGAACATTTCATTATCATTTTAAATTGGTCTATGTAGCATTATTATCAACTATTATCATCATTATTATCAACAATCAGTGCAATTTATTGATCATGAAGGCGAGGTTAAAGTTAAAATGTGACATTGTATGTTAAATCTTCATAAGCTATGCTCTATATGTTAATAATTATGCACATCACACTTGTAAGAATAATATTTTCTCATTCATAAGATGTTTTGTCAATTTTTGACCAATAAATCGTTAAGTTGGCCTTGAAGTCCTCAGTGAATTTTACCTGCCTAATTTTAACTAATTGTTAACATGATCCCACTAATAAAACCCTACAATGTTTTATTAGAATTCATTCAAAACTTTCTGAGCTATCATGTTTACAGACAGAATGACACACACATGATCTACACTGACAACATGTTGAAAAAGAGTCTGATTTCTTTCTTTCACTGTGTTTTAAAGCACTTTGTTACATTAAGAGCTGCTTTGCTCCACACTCATACAGCGGTCCCGTTAGGGCTGCAGTAATTTTGCTCTTGTGACACTTGGACAGCTCAGCTGACAGCAGATGTGAGCTCTGCACTCCCTCGGGCTACTGCAGCATGCTTGATCACACATATCAGGGAAAGGGAAAATGAGTTAGTCACATGTTGTCTCGGGTCAGGCACATGAATCAGAGTTAGTTTAAGATCAGTTTACAAATACAGGGATTTAGCTTCTGTGTGTGTCCTCTTTTCTTTCAAGTTTGTCATGTGACTTTCTGCAAATAGCTGAAGGTACCAGCAGGAGGCAGTAGCTGAAAGATTAAGGCAGATTTTTACTTGTAAATGTTGCAGTTTTTCAGAAGCAGAAAAGATCACCTGACTGTGCAGAATACAGCTAATGAAGTAATAATAAAGCAGTGTGTTTGCTTTAATAATTTCAGTAATAATAATGCCATATCTTTTAAAAGAAATGGTCCAAATCCAACTCCTTTGAGCTGTCTGAAAAATTCAGATTTAAATTTTATGGAAAATTGTCTAGATATCTTAGTGTTTAAATGACACTTAAATCATACTTATTTTCCATCTGTGAAATCACAGTTAAACAGTCTGCACAGGATGACTTAAATTTTTCAATTCATTACAACGATTTATCTATTTTTGATGGATATCCTTAAAATTTAATGTTCTGCCTAGTCAAGTGGAAATAAAGGCGTTTTTGTGTTTTGAATCCATGGTGGGGGAATTTGTGCTTCAAGCTAAATCTGAAATTAGAATACTCACAAGATCAGTGGGGAAAAGAATTTGCCTAGCATGGCTGAGCTGACATAAATTGACTTTATGCGAACAAACTGATCATGATAAATAATGCTCACAAAAAGATGCAATCCTAGTCTTTGCACTTGTACTAGACAATGTCTGCTTTACCTCTTTGTTAACTGATGAATGAAATGATATTTAATAGTCCACCTCTTTATTTTCTTGATATCTGTTTATATTAATTACTCCACAAATAAAAGTTTTATCCCATGGATTAAAAGGAAACATGATTGGCAATAAAAGCCAATGTACTGCATGTGGATAGTAAAAAGTATGCTGTAGTTCAACGTTGCACAACATAATGTATTTGTATTTTTTTAATTTTTATTTTATTTTATTTGATTATGCACCAGGAATGATACATATTAACTTGATTTATTTAAACAGAATAAAATCAATGTAGTGCTGTCTGGCCCTTTAAAACAGAATATATCAATACAAATATACGATGAAAAGAAAGTACAAAGGGAAACTTGACTGGGAGCATCATCTTGAAATACTTAGCACATTTTTACACACACAAAAAAAAATCCTTTTTTTTGGTGTTTTGTAGCTTGCACAGGAAGTGTGTAATAGTCCAGTCTTTTAAGAAGAAAGGTGTGGACTTATTCTTTTAACCAAAGGTTTTATTGGCAGATCTCAACCCAAGTCAGGTCTCTCAGCAACTTCAGTGTTGCATTTTTACTCCAAACTACTGGAAGCAGCCCATCCAGTCTTAAGGAACAATTGGCTGACATGTGCTCCCCTGGGCCTTCCAGGCTGTAAATCCTGCCCCAACTGCTTTCTTCCCATAAAAATAACCTTATTTCCCTATGAATGATTTAGTTTTTTGTAACAATAAACAATAAGTAAATAATAAATAATCTATTTTTTAAATGGTAATCAAACATTTTTTCATATGTGGACTTACTAATCCTGTGGAGCCACCTGGTTCAGAACGAGGAACTCTTGTATCTTTATTTTGAATTAATATACAAGATACAGTCAGCGGAAATTCTCTCACATTGTTTCTTTTAATCTAACTTTTTTAATAAATATAAAAGTTTTGTTTGTGTTGTGTTTTATGTTTTCATCTCCCGAGGCACGGTTGTAACAATTGGGGGCTCATCCGAGATATTCAAAGCTAAAGCTTGGCTTATAATCTGCTTGCTGCTAGGCTGAATTAAATTGCTTTTCTTGACTATCGGCTTTTGTTGGCACTGTGGAGTAATTTTTAGAAGTAACTAAAAATTTGATTAGGCATTTTCTTTAATTTGCAGACCTATTTCTTTAAGATTATATACTTTCATGGTCACATATAGCTGTTTATGTTTGTATGACCTTACTTTTGTCAACCAAAGTGTCTAATCTCAATCTGACAACAGTGTGAAAGTGAGAATGCGGTAAAGACAACGTTTTGGGAGTATTTTTCTGATTCCCCAAGAATTGCCATTGTGCTGGCCAACCATTTGAAAGAAAGAACAAAAGCACTTTATTGATCCCCGTGGGGAAATTCCTCTCTGCATTTAACCGATTCACTCAGTGAAGCAGTGGGCAGCCATTGGGCGCCCGGGGAGCAGTGTGTAAGGACGGCACCTTGCTCAGGGGTACCTCAGGACAGCTGTACAGGGGAATCGAACCCCTGACCTTCCGATCACAGGGCCACCACTCTACCTACTGAGCTATCCCTGCCCACTGGTATAAGCAAACTCAATGAGGTAAGGCTCAATTAGAGACAGAGATCAGTGCCGCTCCTTTCTTCACCACCTGAGGCTCAGTCTGTGTGTTTGGCAGCTTGTTTTTCCTTGTCATTTCTGTCCTGCATGCGCCCTGCTTCCTTGACCTTCAAGACTGATGACTCAATCTTTCCAACCCCTTCATTTGCTCCACAGACCTCTGCACAAATGGAGTCATAGCTCACACCTTACGAGCCTTGACAAGTGATCCGCTCCATCCAGTTCTTCAAGACACTCTCACATCCATCTTTGCAAATCATTTTATGAGTGAATTACAAATCAAAGCCATTTATTTAATGGCGATTGCGTGCAGGAGAACTTGGCCGAGTGGCTGACATCACAAGGTCTCATTCGGTTTCACGCACATAAACACTTTTGTCAGAGTAAAGAATTACTTTGAGAAAAAGCTGTGCACTTTGAAAGCACTGACTGATAGTGATGTCGCCTCCAAATGTGGCCTCTCACTTTTCACAGCCAGGCTCATAAGTTAGGCTGGAAAATACACCGGACCCCTGTCTCATCTCAATATAGAAGTCAGGAGAAAAAAACTGCTTACTCTTGCCAAAAACCATCCCACAAACCCCACTGGGAATGGACTTAACTTGGGCACAAAGGCCCTGGTTATATTTCACCGTAGGATGGCCTTTGTGCCTCTGAATCAGGCAACACTGAGGCTGTGTCTGCTCCTCGCACAACCTGTCTGTCTCCTAAGCTGACAAGCAAGTCTTATTTAGGGAGAAGCACTGAAAAAGTCCACCGGGATTTCATGGATTTTGTGTGTGGCGTGCACGGGGGCGCAAACACACAGGTTTACACATTGGCACTTTGTCCAAATGAGAGCTCACTCACAGCACATTTCTCACACTGGAATTGTATGGGGGCAGGATTTGCAGAGAAAAAGAAGTAGAGAAAGGGGGGGAGGGTGTGGTGGCACCGGTTGGAGGGGTCTTTTCAGTTCTTTTTGGAGGCAACAATAGTCTTTGTCCAAGATCTTCCACTATTCTTATAAGGGTTACCGAAAGAAGGAGGAGAAGCAGGAGGAGGGAGGTGGCCACGCCGGCGGAGGGTGTTTCTCCATAGTAACAATGACAAAACAGGCCAGTTCAACACCAAGCAGGCAAAAAGGTTATTGGAGCTGCTGAGGAGGCACACACAAACCTGTGGAGTAGAGCCCTGTCCACAGAAGGAAAGGAGGAAGACCAGTTTGGTGAGGATCTGTAAAAGGGGGGCAGTGTTGTGTAAAGAAGACAACGAGGCAGGCAGCATTTCCGAAAGCTTTATGACAAAGTGTTTATCAGTCAGTCAAAGAAAGCGCTGGGAGGAACATTATCATAGCAGCCAGCACATCTGTATCCTCCGAGCATGGATCGAGACAGTCACAGTGAGGACACTTTGTCAACTATGGTTCTGGAGAACATAAAGAACAAATTAATTGATGCCTTCAGAGTGACAGGAGAGTCCCGAGAAGATCTCCAGGACTCTGGTTCCACAGTCAGACCGGTCAGCGTGGGCAGGAGTTATCAAGCAAACGAAGAGCTGCGGCGGGCACAGATAGATGGAGCGATAACCTGGCTGAGGTCTGAACTGGTAGGTCATCTTAAAAATCTGACTTTGTTTGCTATTTATCTTTAGCCTTCAACAGGTGGTATTAACAGTCATGGGTATTTTATTCATCTATTATTTTTAACCAAGTTCATGCATGCATATGAAAAATCAAAGGAAAGGACTAGTAATTTTATGTGTAGCTTGGTTATGCTAATTATTTTCTTTCATTGTTGTCATGCAGTTGGAAATGCGCTCCCAGGACCTCCAGCTGGCTCAGACACTGCTGGGGCTCAACACAGAGATCCAGAGACTAAGGAGGGAGAGTTTTGGATGTGTGGAGGTAGAAGGGGGTAACCACCAGTAACTGGCTCCAGCAAAAGTCTTTTTTTTTTTTTTTACTGGAATGAATAGTGGAGAAAGTAAGGACTGTGATGCAAAGATTAAAATACACTTACTTATGATAATAAGTTGTATCACTGTAAAGGAAGTTAGTTACCAGTTGCATGTAAAATACCTTTAGTGAAAAAAAAGAAGGTTGCAATATGTTGAATTGTCTTTGATCCTGCTCTTTTCTTTTTTGAAGAAAATTTGCACTTACACAAAGTTGTGATAAACAAAGTGGAAAGAAAAAAAAGACATAAATGTGTGAATGTAAGAGAAATAAAATGTACAATGTCACCGTCTTTGCGTCTTTATTTAGCTGGCATACTGTAACCACTGCAGTACCTGTTTTAAAAAGTGCTATAAAATTCAGGAATGGTTAATAAATACATTCATGTGTCACTCCCAAACAAAAACAAAAAAGCCCATCTTTATCTACATGTAAGAGCATTTTAAAAACTCATATGTCAAATCAGAATAGTTATCTGCAGTTACAATGAACACATGGAGATATAAAAAAACAACCTCCAGGCTGTAACAATATATACATACTGGAAATGTATATACTGTATGATGCTACAGCCATTGATGGGTTAGTTTGGCTAATAAAATACTCCAGACAGCATGAATCATGAATCCTACTTTTCCTGCTACATCATACTCTTTAAAAAAAATATTTTTTATTTAATCTGTAGTAGTCTGTAGGAAAACCACTCACATAACTATGACTTCAGTAAACCTGGGTGTACTCTTTTCTCACATGTCACACTGTTAATTTAGTTCCATCAACTTCACACTCCACTTTAAGATTCTTGTTTTAACAAGAATCTTAAAGCTCTTAGAGCTCTGCATGGACACTCACCAGAGTATACCAGTAAACCTTTACATGCATACAACCCAACAGGTGCCTGGGGTCATGTGATCAGTACCTGCTGGCTGTGCATCACAAAAGGAGAAGTAAAGGAGACAGTGTACTCCAGACTCTAATATTTGCGGACTTAAAATACAGCTAAAAACTCATCTTTTTAAACTCCATTTGCTGTCTTTTGTTTTGTTTTTTGTTTTGATGTTCTATCCTTTTTGTTGTCAAGCACTTTGTAATGTTTATTTTGAAAAGTAATATGCAAATAAAATGATAATTTATTCATGGCTAAAAAATATAGGCAAAACAGAACTGTCAAAAACAGCAGTTCCTCTAATGGCCACTTGAGGGTGACTCCAAAAGTAGTTCATCCTGTTAGACTCCAATGTAAAAACTCCCAGCTTACGTCTTGGTACAGAAAAATCAAACAAACACGTGTTTATTATGAATATTAATCGAGCTGGAAGGTGGATGACTTGTGTTATAACTCACCAGCATGTATTTTTATGGATATACTCAACGTTTTGACACTAAAAACAAACAAGTAAACAAAAAAACAACATGGCTGTTGTGCCCCACAACTACTAATTAGCCTGTTTTGCAAAAAAAAACAAAAAAACATTTGTTTTTGTCTAAGGTGCCTTTTTTCATTTACAATGTCATATTCGTGTTATGAAAATAAAAATAAAGTATAAGCCATGACATTGTTGGCTAATTTGTATGCAGCCGTAAGTTAAAATGACTTTAAGCTTTGTTTTTTCTTAAGTGAAGCGGTGGAAAATGGGGTCACCGTACTCCACCTTGTCTATGTTAACTGCCTTAAAAGGCACATTTTTGAAAAATTTGTCTGACTTTTTAAGGCACAGAGCTTCTCCTGCAGAACATCCTCCTCGATAAAGTGCCCGAATAAAGCTGCTGAGGCATCTTTAGGCAGGAAATGGAAAAGCCCCCCTCCACTGAGCTGGAGTAGAGACTGCCGCTTCCTTGTTCACTCTCAGAGTCCCAGTAGCTCCCCTCCTCTTCTTCCTCATACGTCTCCTCCTCTTGCTCCTCCTCATACAGCTCCTGCTTGAGCTCCTGGATGCCTGAGTGAAGCTCCATCAGCTGTCGAATCAGGGCTTGATCCTGAGAACGCATCTCCATCTACACACGGAGGACACATCTGTTTAGATTTCACAGAAGCACAGAGCAAACAGACAAATAGGACCAAATACCAAACTGTGAATGAAAGAATTGTGAAGCGAACTTCAGAGAGTTTCTTTCCATCTCGATGAAGCTGAGCAGGTTGTGCTCGCTTTGAAACCGTAAGCCATTTCATTTGAGTGTTGCCCTCTTTCAAATGCAAATGGATCTTTCTGTCATTCCCTTTCTTTTCCTTTTTTTATGAGAGGCTGTCCAACTACTGGCATTGTAAAATAAGATATTCAGAATTCCATCGAGTGTCCAAGTCTGTGCAAAGCACTCAGGAATGTGGGCCGATCTGCATTTCTTTTCTCGGTTAATTACAGCACCAGGCTCAAACTGAGGCTGAGGCGGTGCATAAAAGATTCTAGTTGTATTTCCTTTGTCAACACTTAATTAAGAGAAAACCGTGATTTTCTTTTTTTTCTTCTTTGAGATCGAGCCATCTTGGGCTTCACCTCATTATGACAAACACTAGTCCTTTTCAAATAATGTAGAGGCTTCTCAAATCAGCTTCTGTCTGTAGATGAGGTTTTTTTTTCCAGGGAGTATGCTAACCACAGAAAAAATCAACCTCAGCCTCAGCACAAAGCTTTGGGACTTTTTGGTGATATTTTATCACATTTTGCTTATGAATTATAAGCGATACTTAATGCATCTTCTGTCTTTGGTGTGTCTGTTTCATTTTCCTTCTTTTTTCTATCCTTAATTATCTTCGTTTAAGTGTGGGAGAATAATACCATAGAGGCATCCGTGTCATTAAATTCATCTCATGAACACAAAAAGTGGAACAGCTATGGGTTGGGGGAAATGATCATATTGTAAATTCAAATGTCTTTAAATATAAGGTTATGATAAAGATTACTTTGAATGAGGCTAAAAGAAAGTTAATAAATCGTTATAAAATATTGATGAGACGGATAAAAAAAAATCTCCTTAGGCGATTTAAATAAGATGTTAAGTTTAGAAACTAATGAAGTAAATAACATAGAAAACAATAGATTTATTAGTCTAGTTCGACTTTAGTTTAGTTGTTTTCTCCCCCTAATGCATTTTGATCAAAAGCTCTAGAAAAGCCACAAATCAACCTAAAAGTGAATCGAAACAAAAATTTTTCCAGAGTGAATAAAGATCTTTGGATTGTTGTATGCATTAAATAATCACATCTACAGATGTGCTCTGTTCAAAATTGCAATGTGATTATATTTGCCTATAATACTTAAAGGTAAGTACACTAAAAAGAGGGTAAAAAGCCAGGTTTTACAATAATTGTACTGTAAACAAATTCAATGTAAGAGCCAAAGTCAATGTTTATGTTGAAAGTCGCAACATTCAAGTACTCTATAAGTAATTTTAAGTAATGTGCAAGTAATTTCAAATATTGCATAACTTCATGTATTTTACAAGAAAGGAAACACAAATGATTAAGTACACTGTACTTTTCATGGCCGCGGATTGCACTATGGAGTGGCTTGACCTTGGCTTCCAGGTATTTTAAAGGAAAGGAGGTCCTTTTAAAAGTCTTCTTTGAACAGTGATTGTAAAAGAAAAGAACATTAAGTTGACTTGACCCCATCACGATAAGGTCACATAGGCCTGCAATTTTTGATGGTACTTATTTTTTCTAAATTGATAAAAGGAAAGTTGAGTAATGGAACAAAACAAAACAAAACAAAAAAAAGTAAACAGGCAAGATGAATCCACTCCATAATATGGCCTGGCCATGGTGTATAAAGTATATTTACGATGTGAGACGGGGAAATTGTTTGCTTTTCTGTAAAATTACCATAAATTCTACACCACTTAAAATGATTTATTCACTACTTTTATTTATTTATAATTAATGTGTAATTTATTTACATTATAGCTTTTTCTGCATTTCCTGTAAAAACCTGATTTGTTGCCCCTTTATTGTATTGGTTATCTTTAAGTATTTGCAGGTAAATATAATTACATTGTCATTTTAAATAAAACACATTGAAATTCTATTTGATTACAGGAGAATTACACACTTTGTCATTGACTGTATTATGAAGTGTTACCATTTGTATAAATAAACAGAAAATCTGAATTTATTTTATTTAAGGAGGCCAAAGTGCGACAAAAAAACGGAGACTGTCTAATTTTGTATTTTTACATGCAAAGCTCGTCCTTCTCATAAAAAAAAAAAATGCTGCAATGTGAGCCAAAAGCTTGACATCATCTAATAAATAGACTTGAGGATTATTTCTGGAATTTAAAGGTTAAAGGTTTTAGCCTGAGCACCTCCCTTAAACTATCTGAAGGAAGGTGAAACAGACAATTCAAGGATCTCATTCACTGCTGCTCCTCTGAGGCCTGTTTCCAGGATGTCTCTGTTTCTCCTTGTTGCTCTTCTGTCCGGCTCCCGCTCAGACTGTTTTCTTCTCTGTGTGCTCAGGACACTCGGTTACCATGACGAGCAGTCGCAATAAATGCCAAGCGATAAATCAAGCCGTGACAATGAGCCTTGCACTCGCAGACACACAAGCACATGCACACACAGCCTCTTTGCATGGTGACGGTGGTTTAAAAGGGAGTGACGTTGTAAGAACATGACTTACATGGAGCCGGAGGAACAAAGAAGGCAATAACTTGGGCCTCACACACAAAAACATCAGGGCTGACCATAGAAGTCGTTCTGATGGTGGGACAAATGACTTGATCTTTATCACAACAGACAATAAAAATGTTTTTAGACTTCCCATAGACGTCACAAAAGGGCCACGCAGAAGAATTTACAGGTCATAGATTTTGTTGCTATTTAGTAAATGAGCAAAATTGATATTTTATATTCACCTCAGTTTGAATTTGGTTGAATAGAAAAATAAAATGCATTCAAAACAATAATTCATGCTTTGTTTATCTGTTGAATTCAACTCATTTCACAATTCACTTTGGAAATAAAAGGGTCATTTTAACCCCGAAATTTCAAAGTCTACTCTCACCTGTGCAGATCGCAAAATAACACACATCAGTGGTGAAGGAAGTATTCAGACTGTTTCCTGAAGCAATATAGCCAATGTGGCCCTATCTATGAAATATTTGCTGAACAGTGACCACTCTGTCTGAAAAAGAAAAATGCAAAACTATGGGACAAGATTTCTAATCTTAGTGAACTAACTCAGTAATGTTTGTCAAATTCCATCATTTGGCTAAAACTGCTAAATAAATTCATGAATTTGGTCAGCAGATTAAGCAAGTCCAACAAAATCAATTTGTTTAACTAGAACATTTACTACAACAACATTGTACTATTGTACTGCAACATTTTACTAGATTTAAGGAAATTATATACGAAATAGTTATTTCTTCATCAACAATGACTGACTCTGACTTACACAGAACTTTGAATCGCACTGACCCAAAGTTCTGAAAGTGTTTTAAATTTCATTTTACATGCACAAGATTATATTTTTTTGCATGCAGCTTTTAGTACAGACAAATAATATTTTTTAAATCTTTATTGTGTAAATAAACACCCCCTATTCCCAGAACGCATAGTTTTGTACAACTCTAACATGAGCTGCCACAATAAAACTAAAGAGGGCTTTAATATAGTTGTAACAGGAAACAGGAATCTGCAGGTGTTATATACGTATAGCAAGACAAAATTTATTAGGGATACACCGTTTCCCTTACAGGCTCGATCAGAGTCCCAGTCTTACCAGTTCCCTTCGCAGCCAGGCCAGTGCACTCTCTATGTCCAGTTTGCTTGCTTCTCCACCAGATGTGCACCCTTCCTTGACATGGTTGGTTCTGGCCTCAGGGTCCCTGCTCGTGCTCTCTTGTGCTTCCTTGCAGTCATCAAAGGTGGAGGTCTTGCAGGAGAAGTCCCGCAGTCTTGTTAGGACCACCTCCATCATGTTAGGTCAGTGATAGTTCTTCTAACCGGAGTCTCTTCTACACCCTCTGCTGCGTCTTGCCTGTTTTCGGCCGTAATGCAGCTGCAAACAGCCTCGTCTTCTGTTATGAGCCCCGCCAGCTCGGAGGACTTAAGAGGAGCTCTCTCTCTCTCCCGTTCTCATCTTTCAAACATGCTCCTTCCTCCCTCCCTTTGCTCTCCTCCTTTTTCTTGCCGTCTGTTTCACAAACATTAGCCCCCAACTGCTTGGCAGAGTGAATTGGTAGCACTGGTCTGGCGAATGCCACCGAGCTGGTATGATGTCAGTGAATTGTCCGGATGCCTGATGTGGAGCTGTTTGGTTTTTTGTTTTGTTTTTTTTTGTTTTTTAAATCAGACACACAAACACAGAGATCATTAGGAAGGAGATGAGGGAATTAGCCCGGTGGTTGTCTTGAAGATGACACAAGGGTCCTGTTGTGTAAACTCACACAGCTTCAGTGAGTTTTGGTCTGTTAAAAGATAATGGAAGGTGATGATGCTGACAGAGACATAAACATTAAGTCCTATGGTGTACGTAGAACTGCCCTGAGTGGCCTACGTCAGGGTCAGGATCTAAAGAACAGTGTGAACAGCCATGTGTAACTAACCCTTCTCATGCCATTTTCCCTTCACTCTGTAGCCCCTGGCAACCCACTCCTCATCTATTCACACGCTTTGGTAAACCAAACACAGGCCGGCTGTACGGAGCCTGCATCGACCAAAATAGCCCCAACACACTATTTTTAGAGTTAAACTGACTCCACTTTTAGACTTGTTTAAGAAAGCAAACGTCACCCCTCTCAAAAGGAGCTAAAAAAGTCTTCAAGTCTCATTGTGTAAGTGTGTCATGTTCCCACTGCTGCTTTCAAAAGGAATGAAAAGAGCTGATGTAAGTGTTTTAACGTCACACACTGCATTGGGTGAAACTCTCAATTATATTTCTGCAAAAGGCACTTTGTCTCAGCCTGTCGGCGGTTGAATGTAAGATCGATTTAAAACTGGGGTAAGCGTCATGGTTTTGGTATCCCTGGACAAAAAAAAACATGGCACAAGAAATCTATGGGACAATCATTTCTAACAGCAGAGATGGTGTGAACCAATCATGTTGCTGTACTCTTGCACATAGAAGTGCTGTTAAAAAGTATTTCCCCACCCCTTCAGACCTCCTTTGTTTTTTTATTTTTTGCCATATTTGTCAGAGTTAAATGTTTCAGATTGTAAAACAACTTTTAGATAAATCTGAGGAAACACAAAATGCAGTTTTTAAATTATGATTCATTTATCAAGGGAAAAGTGGATTGAGAATCTACCTGGGTGTGTGTGGAAAAAGCAATTGCACCCTGAACCTAATGCGGGTTGTGTCACTCTTGGCAGCAAGAACTACAATCAAGCACTTGCTGAGTTAGTCGTTGCTGTGGAGAAATTTTGTCCCACCCTTTTTTTTACATATTTGTTTCACTTCAGCCATATTGGGAGGGTTTTTCAGCATTAATGGTCTATTTACGGTTGTGAAAAAAACCCATCTCAATCAAATGTTCAGACTTTGACTAGACCACTCCAAACCCTTGAAAACCCTCCATTGCTTTTAAGCACTGATGTGATGTCTTGTGGAAAATCCTGCTGCATAGCCCAAGTGTGCTTGATCTTTGGGGAACAAATGGCTGCACATTCTCCCATGGGATTTTCTGGTAGAGTTTTTATGCTTCAAGTAGTAGTTTTAGGTCCGCTTAAAAACAAAAAAATCAATCAGGGGTTCCTCAGGGGTCTGTCCTTGGACCATTATTGTTCAACCTTTACATGCTCCCATTTGGTACTTTCATAAAGAATCATATCATAGCTATAATATCTCATTCTTTTGCAGATGACATTCGGTTGTACCTATCATTTTCCTCATATTATCTATCTCCTGTTCACAAACTAGTAAGTTGCACTGAGGAAATGAACTGCTGGATATGTAGAAGCTTCTTGTAACTGAACAGAAACAATAAAAATATTTATTCTTGACTCAAAAAGTCAGAGACAGAGAATTTGTTCATATTTATCATGCCCTTCTCTGAAACACACAGCAAACAAATCAAGAGCCTTGGCATTATTTTGGACGGTCATCTCAGTTTGATAATCACATCAATACGATTACCAAAACTGACGTCTACGACTTAAAAAGTATATAAAAAGTCAACAAGTTATTATATTAAAGTGACTAAGAAATTGATGCAGTAAATGGATTAATCCATGCAGGATTATCCAAATCATCATTAAAATGACTTCAACTCAATGCAGTAGAAGCCAGTAGTGCATGGAAATGTGAACATATTACCCCAGTATCCAAGTCTCTCTCTACTGGCCCCCAGCTCAACACAGGCTAACCTTTAAAATCCTTCTGTTAGTTCATAAAGCTCTTAATAGTTTGGCCTCCCAGTGGATCTCTGAATTGCTCAGGGTCAATAACCAAATTAGACCTCTCAGGTCATCAGGTGCAGATCCTTTAACTGTCCCTAGAAAGTGTGCTGAGGTTGCTTTCAGTTTTTGTGGTCCTGCTCTTTGGAACAAGCCGAACGCTGATCTGAGGTCAGCTGGAACAAACTCAAAACCTTTCTCACAGGCTTACTGTTCAAAACTTTATATATGTGTGTGTTAACTTCTATTTTATGTTTTCATAAAGTTTGTTTTGTTTGTGTTTTTATTGCCGTAACACTTCGCAGACCTACACTGGTTTATCTTAAAGGAATGTACTGTATAAATAAATTATCATTGCGATTGATCACCACCTTGTAGGAAGCTTAATTTTGAATTAAAGGTTTAATTCAATCAAAAGAAAGAAAAAAAAATACTAATGTTTGCCCTGTGATTGCTCCAATCTGGACTCATCCCACCACCTCCTCAAAGGGAAGCCAACTTCTCCATCTTCTTCCATTTCCTTCCCCTGACCTCGCCTCCTCCACTCTCTTTACCACCGTTCTCTTCATCTATTATCACCTTCTTATCCCAGCAGATCAGCTATTCAAAATCATTAAAAAAAATCAATCTCTATGATCGATCAGATTAAAAACACTGTTACTGCCAACTGGTAACGTATCAGCATTTACTCAGCAGGGCTAACGCTTTTAATGCCAGTTATTCTTTCAAACATTTCATCCGAGTCCGAGTTTTTCTTTTAACATCATTTTGATAACTAAAGCGAATAAAGACACACTTTAAAAATAGAAACATAGATCTAAATTAATGAAGTATATAGAAGTGACTGACATGTAGGTCTGTTTAAGTGGATCCTTGTCGCCATCTTCTGGTATTTTTTTTTTTTTTTGAATCAGTCGCCAAAACAAAAGCGAGACTAAGTTTTTTAGAAAGACTTGCTACCCATCCACTATCTTGAAACTCCCCCGGGGCTGTTATTGGCTCATTACCGATCCAAATAAAGAATAAACAAAATAAAAAACATCACCGACATAGCTGCTGTTTAATCCACCCACAGATTGAAAATTAGTGTCGTTTTTCTTTTCTTTACCTGTCAGCTCCACGCGAATATTTCTTCCTTTTTTTTTCTGTTTCTGCAACTCAGTCAAAGCTGTTCAGGTTGAACTAATAATATGCTCCACACTGCCAATAAAGACTCAGTGTGAGTGGCTGTTTCCATTCAAAGTGAAAAATAAAGTATCTCATTGATAAGTTAATTCCACTGTACGTGCAGGTGCTTGGGAATCTTTCGGGGGTTAAAATCGGGGTGTTAAGTAAGACTGCTTTCATCGGAGACGAGTTTTGCTGAATTTGGAAATAATGGCTAAGTGATAACGCAAGAGGAAAGGGCGCACGGCCCGTGTGGTTTGATTATGTAATCAGTGAGTGCCGGCTGATCAGAGGAGGTGGGCGGACCCCGAAGAACTCGAGCGGTAGTTTGGGATGTGTGAAACAGTGAAATCCTCTCCCGATTAGTGAATTAATAATCAAAGCTGAATTTGGGTTTTAAACACAAAATATTCATTAGCTTTAGGAAATTCAGCTTCGCCCCAAATTATTTCCCTTTAATATGTTACATTTATTACAGAAGTGTATCTGTTTTGGACCCCATGTGTGCCATCACCTCCCCCGCCGTCCTTCGGGCCGGCCGGCTCTGCGTTTGCACACGGTGCAAAGCGTTAGTCACAAGATTGCATCAAAGTCTTTGCGCCTTGCACCCCAATTCGTTAGAGAAGACATCCAGCGGCCGCTGAAAGACGTCTCAAGAAGGCACAACTCAAGATCAGAGAAGAAAACAAAGATTTTAAGTGAGATAACTGAACATTAATTTATTATATTATATATATATATTATATTATTATAATTATTGTTTTTACTTCTTTTTTTTTGTTTGTTTAAATACGTTTTTGTTTTTAGTCTGAGTATTTTTCCGACTGTCATGTTTAAAAGCAAGGATCCAGAGAATTTTCACCTGGTGTCAGAAGAGAAGAAGAGATACAGCACACCGGAAAGGTAAACGATTAAAGTTTGTCTTAATAGTGTTTCAGATTAGAGTAGAGGAACATGTGATTCCCTGTTTCCAACAATAAACAGGTGAATAAAAAAATTAAAAATATTCATTGTGCTTGAAGGTTTGGTGTTAAATTGTATTCTAAATCAAAAGAAACAGAAAAGGGTAGTTTCAAAGTTTTACAAAGTGCTTTGGGGAGTGTCTGCTCACGTTCCTCTGTGACCTACTGGTTTTCCACACGGGACTGGACTGGTCTGGGGGTCTGATGAGATTAGCTGTGTGCAAATGTGTGTCTGACTCGGATCATTTAGCCGGCTCTACTTCTGCTTAATAGGGAAGTGTGCACAGAGTGCAGCAGCAGCGCATAGATCCACTTTTAAACACTCGTTAATCAGCGATTGTTTGTTTGGTGTCCTCTGATGTTATTATTGTTATTGGCCCTATTATTTATTAGGTTACAAGACCAAGTCAGTTTTAGTCGGGGGGTTACAATGAGGTGTAACAATCGTCGTGCCAAAAAGTGATTTCCAGATTAACTGCTTTTATGCTAATTGGTTAGATTTGTTTACAGATTGGTCATTTTCATCGAGTGGTCTTCTCTGCCAGTGTGTCATGCGGATTAACCAGTTAACCTGGAGCACCGGTACTTGCCAAAAAAAAAAAAAATTAGCGGTATTTAAACCGCTGCCAAGGACTTGGTGATCTATAATCTGTCAAGCACACCTGTCATGGATGATATCAAGTCAGATCTGAGCCAGAAAGAAATACCGTTATGAAGTAGAATGAGCAAGCAGCTTTTGGTAAAGTGACTTTTACATATAGTTTATTTAATCCAGGTAAAACGCACACTGACATATAACAATGTAACATAACAGCTCTGTAAAGATAGTTTATGCACATTGTTGTCGAATTTGTTATTTATTTGTGGACTGCAGCTTGGTGTGTAGGTACTTGCTCATTAATAAGAAAATAATGACTTCCCAAACGCTTTCTCCTTCTCATCCCTGTGATGCATTCACATTGCGAGCGATCGTGGCTCAAGAGTTGGGAGTTCGCCTTGTAATCGTTCGCCTTGTAATCGGAAGGTTGCCGGTTCGAGAACTCATAAAAGCGCTATACAAATACAGGCACTATACAAATATAGGCCATTTGCCAGGCACCAGTCTAACCGGCTACGCTGGTTCGACTGATGTTTTTAACCAACACCTTTTATTGCATGTAATGCACAAACACACCAACAGAGGGCAGTAATATCCCTTCAACATACATTGTAAAATTACTATTACAACATAGACTGGTGAAGTTATCACTGATTCTCTGTGGCTGGATTGATGCAGAGCTGACTGTTCATGGCCAGTTTTGGGTTACATCAATGTTAGCAGAAATAACTTAATAGTAATATAATGAGTAATAATACGTGATGAATTATTATATTTAAGGTGATGGTTTTGATTACAACCCCCAAAGCTGCAGGGTATAATTTAATATTTATTTGCTAAAATATCAAAAGCCTTCCATAGATGGGAGCTCGTGTTCCTCTAACAGCTGTATATACCTTTCAGCATTGATGGTGCCTTTCCAGGTTACAAATTTCAACTCGTCTGACCACAAAAAAGTGTTTCACTTAACCTCAGTCCATTTTTAATCAGCTTTGGTCCAGAGAAAACAACACTGTTACCGGATCATGTTGTTGTATGGCTCCTTCTTTGCACAACAAGTGTTCCTGAGCCCATGCAGTGATTTCTGCGTTAAAGCCCTGTTTTTGAAGCAATACTGCTCGAGGGCCTAAAAAAAATCATACATTTTCACAGATTTTCGGCATTATCGCTTACACACAGAGGTTTCTCCAGATTCTCTGATATTTTTTATTTTTTTTTAAATGCTACTTACTGTAGATGAGGAGACATTCAAAGTCTTTCTCAGTTAAATCACTTGAAATGTTTTCTGTTATACTATGAATAAACTATGAATTATGAGATTTTTAAATCACTGCACTCTGTTTTTATTTACATTTTTTGCAACTTCCCAACTTTCCTGTCCTCAGCTTTCTGACCTAATTCTACTTTTTATACGAGAAATGTACTAGTACATTACCATACGGCTTGTCAAAGATTTGCTTAATCTCCAGTCCTAAATATACAAAAAGCAGTGAACATTAATGTAGCAGCACAGGTCAGCTGGTCACAGACTGTACACAAAGATGTTCACAGTTCACAAATGAAATTATGCTTGTGGTTTTTTTTTTTTTTTGGTTTTTTTTTTTGAGTACCTCTTTTCCTCCTATTGCGCTGCTTCACCCAATCTTAAGGTTTCTCCACCTGCCAAATCCCAAACATGGTTCCAATGCTAGAATGTCAAGCATGTGTAGGAGAAAATGGCCATCTTTGTATAGGTTATTGGTGTGACCTTCCACAACAGTCCCAATTTGCCATGATTTTCCCACCTGTTTGTCATAGTCAATGACATCAGTACTCATGAAATGTTAACGTAGACTTGAATTACTGCACATCAAAGGCTGCCTCCCTCTTAACTCTGATCCACATCAGTTTGCTTATTGAGCAAACAAATGTACACAGGATACCAAAGCCACAGCCCTCCTCACCACACTGAACCACCCAGGAAGTCTCTTTAACACAATCACCCCCACTGCTCCTCTAACCTCATACTTAACGCTGGCTTTCGTCAGGGCTGTGTGCTAAGTCCTGTCCTTTATGCTTTGCTTTTTGTTTTGTACAAACGTGACTGCAATCCAGTGGACCCCACCAACACCCTTATTAAATTTGTAGATGACACTTGTGTTGCTGGATACTTAACTTGACATATAGATGAGGTTCAGAAACTGTCTGTGTGGTCCTCTGCAAACAACCTCAAACTCAACACCAGTAAAACCAAAGAGATGATAAAAAGTAAGGCCCAACCCTCCACTAAAGCAACAGATTATGGCTTTAAGTTCCTGAAAACTCATACTGCAGAGGCACTTAGAGGTCTGCCAAGACAGCAAAAATGGTAAAAGAAACAAAAAAAATCCACATAGAGAATACATTTCCTGATAGTTTATGCAGAGCAGTCACATAGAGGAAAAGCTGTTGGTGGCCTTCTACCCCTCAGTCATTGTAAGTGTACTGCATCAGTGTGGTACTCTGGAGAATAAACCTTTGCAGAGGGTCGTCAACACTGCCCAGGAATCAAGTGACTTCCCACTGCTCTGCTTGGAGGACATCTCCAGCTCTCAGTGTCTCAGGAAGTCAAGGAAAATAATTAAACTTTTCCACCTTGGGTGGCACTTGTTCTACCTCCTACCCCCAGTCAGACACTATAGGCATAAAAAAGCCTGACAAACATTCTCGAAACAAAGTTTTTGTTCCCCAGTTCAACCAGAACTCTCACCCCTTTTAATAGCTATTCTTTAGTGAAAGGCATCCCTATAAGTGATTCCCTGACTGTACAAGTATGAATGTCTTCTTTTAAATCAGACTTAGGGTACATCTAGTCCTGACTGTACCTGACTGACCTGCATGCAGTCAACGGGAAAATAGGATTGAAATGTATGCGATTTGTTCATCGAGGTAACTGCATATGTGGATAGGCTAATAGAACTGGATAAAGCCGTCAGGTATTACAACCCATGGCTGTCTAAATCTGACAGGAAAAAATGACTTTTGAAATGGATACAAGATAAAGCTACTGAAATGAACACAGAAATTTTGCACTGTATTATACATCAGAAAGTGTGTACGTTAGTGCTAAAAATAACCATGTTGTTGATGTTTTAACTAAAATAATTTCGTTAGGGTAAGAGCACTGAATCGCAGGACTTGGAGGATCACGAGACTGAACATGGTGACATAGCTGTCAAGCTGTCAAGTGGCTCAATCAGGGCAAAGTGCTAAAAAGAGTATAGGACCTAAGAGCAAAAATTTGACAGTTAGAGGAAACTCAACGACATTTCAGAGCTCTCAGATGCTACACGAAAGGCAGATCTTGCATTTGCTGTTAATGTGATTAAACTTCGCGTTTCCACCTCAGATTCTGAACTTGACTGTAATATTCAAACATAAAGCAGGCTAGATTTATTTCATTGAACAAGAGAAAATAACGAAAAAGCTGCCAACGACATAATTAAAACACAAGCAGAATAGCAATGTGCCATTGCTATTAGCACATAAAGTTAAAAGTCTTGAAAATTTTCCAAAACATCCACATTTTTCCTCAGAATTGGAGATAATTTATCTGCATTTCAGGAGCAGGACCACACCGCCATACACTCCCTTTCCAGTTCTTTATCTATATATGAATCCCGCTGCACTATAA